CAATAAGAAAATAAACTATAAACTGACAAGGGAAGCAGTACGCGAAGATTAAATAGAAGTAACTCTTAAAGGACACGATTTTTGGTGTATAGAATTCGTTTATAATGATCACATTTCAAAGCAAAAAAATTGAACATTGATATTAAAGAATATGAAATAAATTAATTCATTTATGAACCTTATCCTCAATATGAGTAAACAAGGGTAACTTGCATCTAACATAGAAATAAAGCCGTTGATACTCTAATTTACTTCAAGCGGTCTTGATACTAGTTTAAATGTGCTCTGATACGCGCTACAATGTAAAGTTACCCAACCTATAAGAAAGAATAAAAACGAGTCACGGAATACCTTGTGTATAACAAGCTGAGTTACAAAAAAGGATTTAATAGAAAGACAAAAACGACAATGGCGTGTAAGGAAATCCAAAGGTGGCGGAATAAGAGACTCAAGATAACCGGCTCAAAATAGTCCTGTGTTCGTTGATTGGTTCAATAAAAAGCCTCAAAATTGGAACTAGGTTGGTTTGGTCGCCGCGATACAGAGTGCAGATAAATGATATTATATGTGTGTTGAGATATAAATGTAACAAAAGTATAGATGTAGTTAAGGCTGCGACAAAACAAATGACTATAACAAAATTACGACATTCCTTGAAATTCGCATCTGCCCTCTGACCCAAGGGTACTCGTGCCAATCTGACGTAGTGGTTAAAGTGTCGAGCTTACACATTGCACTGTCATTGTTCGAATTCCGTTTGGGATGTTGATAAGTCCTATGCAAAGTTTAAACTACAGTCCACCCTGGATGAGAATACCTCTGAAGAAAGCAAGGCTATGTGAAATTTAATTAAAATTTCAACTCTACTCATATCATCATTTATCTTTAATCACCTTTAACGAAATAGGGTGAAGACAACTCACGTATCGTGCGACTGTCGCAAGACATAACTGTGGTTATGGTTCATAAGTAAGTATAAAGTTTCATTGCTTTAATGTATTAGCTTTAAAAATTTTCTCAAGTTAAATATGATATAAGAATCAGCTGAAGCGAATCTTCTCATTAAAATGGCATAAAAAGGACAATATGAATGGAAGGTGGAATAGATTCCAAGTAGGATAGATAACATACCAAAAAAATCGAGAGGAGGTTTACACACGGAGATAGGAGAGGATGATACTGCAGAAGAAACTACAGCTCCGGAAACCCCTGTGGCTGCGCTCTCCAGCCAATTGAAAGCATTTGAATGACCTATTGGCCGTCCTGCATGGGCCCCGGTGTCGCCGCCGGCCTGCACAAGACTAAGAGCGGAGCTATTGTCTCCAAAAACACCACGAGCACGAGGACCCCGGCTAGCCTGAATAAACCCATCTGGATGTCATCAAAATGAGATTAAAAAGATGAGTTATAGAGAGGCGAGGATCAGCAGCATTATCCTCAACAAACTAATACAAGGCATATGCGACCACGGGCAGTAAACATATGGATGTGGCCATATTTACAAAATGACGCTTAGGACAGAGCATAGCTCCCCATGTAGAAAAAAGGCCTAATATCTATCATTTTGAATACCATTCAAGGGACTCAATATGTCGAAAAAAAACAAAGGAAATTCGAGTGAACAAATGAAAGAAATTTTATATAGACTCAGAAATGACTGAATCCTGGTTTAATCTGAGGATTTGGAATAAGATAGTCCCTTAGTCTCCTTCCACAAAATACATCTAAATAAAATCATTGTTCTACAGTATTATGGACTGGTAGCGTTGCCATTCAACATCGTGGGGCAAATACTCTATAGACTAAAATGTTCCAAGAGTTCGTTCGTATTCGATTTTATGAAAGCAAGGAAAGAGCACATTTAAAATAATAAATCCTTTCCAGCATCCATATAAAAACTTGAGAATCAATGAAATGTTGTATTGCTTGGAGTTTCATTTCGTATGAAAGTGTATGAAGAAGAGATTCAAAGGTCGATCTGATGGGGGCGTTCAGATGGGTGCAAACTAGAAATTCAAGTTAATATAAAAGCCCTTGTAATGGACTTTGATTTATGGCTATTAAACTTATGCTAATCAAAATAATTATTTCTGGATAGATTCACTGAGACCTCCATTAATAAAGCGAATAAAGCGCATACAGGATAACAGGTAAAATAATTTATTGACCCATAGAATAGGTTAACTTGTAGTTG